CAATGCAGTGAGATGCGCTCTTTCCAGATGTCAGGTTTGTTCCTGCCAACTCCAACGGCCACGTGTGGTACAATCGTGTCAAGAGCAAGCTCCTGGCTCCTTCTCTCACTCCTAGATGCAATGTTGCGGGAGATCGTGGCACCCGACCTTCAACATGCACACCTCAGGCGACAGTCCTCACCCCTACCAGGATATCCAAGCATCGCATAGTCTCATATGACTTCCATCCTGTTTTCAGCAGTATAGATCCCGCATCAATCACTCGGTCAGCTTCTAGTCGCTAGTCGCCAGCTTCGCGCGCAGTCTATCGTTCACGAGGTGCTCGGCGCGATATCGCTTCTCAAAGCATTGCTGACGGTAGGTAGCAATGACATTTTCCGAGATCGCGGGACGGCTGCTGAAAGGGTCAGGACACTCGCAGCCGCCGCCTGGCAAAGAGCACCTAATCGAATCTCATCCTTCGCCAGAGAGAGCCAGCATTTCCTCCTTTCTAGCTTCGCCCGAGTCAGACAACGGTCATATCACAGCCCGCGAAGGCATGCTCAGCATCCATCTGGGCGAACAAAGAGGACACTCCACCGCCTCTTCGTGGGCGAAACCCAGACCTTTATCAGACATTCGCGAAGTCACCGAATCAAGCTTTGCAGACACCCTACCTCGGAACGCCCTAACAAACAACTTTCCCCGAAGTACCTCTCGCACGGAGATGTCACGGAAGCCCTCTGTTGCTACGAGACGACGTCCGAGCAACGACAACCGGTACGGTGAAAACGTAGAACCTGATCGAAAGAATAGCATTGAAAGCAACGGCATAAGATCCACCCACAGGGGTCGGACGTCTAGATCACCATCACCATCAAGCCCTGCAGATAACCACAGCATATCGAGCATATACAGCATACCAGCCGGTACCGTCCCGCCACGATCGTCCTCACGACCTCGTGCACCGAGCACTTCTCGAACGCGACAGCCACAGCAGATACCACCTATACACATAACCCAAGCGACTGCGACGAACACGCTGAGCGCCATACCTATTATACCGTTTCCGCCTCCTAGCAATAATACCAATACTATCATTCGGCATGGTCAATCGCAGTCCCCCTTGCGCCACATTGTGACTCGCCTTGACCCCATTACTCATGACACCCACCGACGCATACCCTCCAGAACATTTGTTCGCGATCCACTATCGAAAGAGCTGCTAGAGTTTCCATCACACCGACATCCGCGAATCGACCTTGGCCTGGATTTATCCGCAGGCATTTTCGTGGGCGGAGGCTCCATCGAAGGGACCGTCCAGATAAACGTCGACGATGCAGAGCGAATACGTCATAGAAGGACTCTGGACATTGCCCGGATATCTATCGATCTTCTTGGGACGGAGGAAGTGAGCGGCAACAGACGAGCTGTCTTTCTGAACCTTGCTACAGAGCTCATTGATGAGCAAAACCCGCCGCCTCAAAACATGGTAGATACCCAAGAGCCAATAAGTTCCGCGGATCTTTTCTGGCATCTGATGCCTTCTACGACCAATCTCGCGTTCAATCTGAGCCTACCTCTCAACGTTGGTCCTCCGCCCTTTCATTCAAAGAATGCGAGAATCCGCTACATACTTTGCGTATCACTTCTTATTCGCGATCAAGGAAGGCAATACATTGTCAGGACTTCCGAAGATGTCACAGTGCTCTCAGTGTACGATCGTATGAGGCATCTAACTTATCAATGCCTAATCTCACAGTGCTGACATGCTCGCAGCTGAAAAGGCACTCATGTCGCTACCTAGTCCACTGACTGCCTCAGACGAGTGGATAAAGCCCCGAGAAACCACCGTCGAAGTCGTCCGCGTCACTGCAGGCCTACATCGACAAGTTTGGGTCAGCGGAACCAGTCTCTACGTCGATGTTCATGTCGCCAACAACAGTCGCAAGCTAGTCAAAAAGATTGAGCTTCAGTTGGAGAGGGACATACTCTGCTACAAACACGTTTGTTATGCGAGCTTGACATACTTTCTTGTCATGATGCTAATAAGAGTGCGTTGTAGGTTGCTGCGGCTACGATGGAGAAGTCTGCGGGTCAGGCTCGCATCTTTGACAGCAACGAGCGGTCTATCCTCAGTAAAGCAGTCGTCAAGCATGGTTGTGCCGGCTGGAACGGTGTTTCTGCACAACAGACTCATATCAGGACCTGTGATCTCGAAATACCCCGTGGCCACGGTACGGTAAAGTGTGGTATGTACATTGGCGCGAAGTCGTGTACTCGGTCCCTAACCAAGACAGGCAAATACTTTGAAGTCAGATACTTCTTGAATGTCATTGTAGCCAGCGGGCACACGTCAGTCTTGTCGTCACTATCACTGATCAAGCTGACTCCCTGCAGAAAGCTCGTCACCGTTCAACTACCAATCGTTCTCATCCACATGGTGCGTTGCACTATCATCCTCCTCCGCATCCACTAATAACCACACCCTCAGAACTCTCTCGACGTGGTCCCCAACTCCGTCGCCCAAGTCGCCATGGCCATAGAAGAAAAGCGCACAGCCCGCCATTCTCCACCGCGCCTGGGCCGCCGCCCATCCCAATCCGTCCAAGGCCGCGCTTTTGCAGCACCGCGCATGCAATCCTTGGAACGCATGCGCGCACGCGACGAAGCCATCCAAGAGCTCGGCCAAGCTCTCGAGCAAAGCCCCCGCAAATATGGTCTCCGCCGCGCAAACTCCAACTTCGACTACCGCACCCCGCCCTCCAACCGCAAAGGCAGAATCCTAGGCGACGGCGAAGCAGGAGATCTCCAGGACCGTCTGCGTCGTGTAAGATCGAATGAAACGATTGGATCGCGACCACCCACCTTACACAAAGTCAACTCTACGCGATCGAGACGAGGCGCTGCATCGGCTTTTGGATTCCGCGAAGCAGAGGTTCGAGAAGACATCGAACTTGGGGGGCTGGGTGCATCGGGTGATGGGCCATTGAAGGAGAGGTTGGAGAGAACTAGTGATCGGCAGTATCGGTTCAGCAAGAAGAAGAGCGTGGAGAAGTGGAAGGGTGTAGCGAATGTGGGGGTTGGGTGGTTGAAGGGGAGTGGAGTTAAGGATGATAGGGAGAGGGAGGGATGGGTGTGATGTGCGCACTTTGCTTCCCTTGACAGGCTTCCTGTACGTTGGATAGCGCGTGCGTTACGTTGAATGATGATACTTTTTCCTTTCGTTCTGCTTGACTGTGTCATCGTCACATATGATAGGGATCGAGTAAGTGGTTCAAAAATGGTCAAAAGTATATGTAATGTTATTTGATTTAGTCCGTCCTATAACATCCCGAATGCTTTGATATATGATACAGTCATCCCTCGTAGTAGTCATTAACCCCCTCTTCATCTTCCTTATGCAATATCATACAGTATTATACACGGCGTGTCGAGGTAATCGTAACGCAAGGACTCCCGCAATGGTAGAGCCTCGTGCAGCTAGAAAGCTTATGACCTGCTCTTCGCGAGCTCAGACTGAGCGGTCGACGTGGGACCACCCTTGACACGCTCTCCACCCGTAACCTTCTTCTCGCCCTCAGTGATGTCGTGTAGCGCCTCGCTGGTGATGGGCTCCTTGGCGTGACTCTGCGCCTGCGCAGTAGGACCTCCAGGTACGGGACCGTCCTCGCCCGTAAGCTTCTTCTCCGCATCAGTGATCTTGCTCAGCGTCGACGAGTCTAGCTTTCCTGATGCGTTGGAAGTGTTGGCGCCGGTGTTGTTGTTGGATGAAGCGGAGCCTGCTGTCAGAGCAGACTGAGCGATGGATGTAGGACCTCCTTTCATGACTTCATCGGAACCAGTGAGGACCTTCTCGCCCTCGGTGATGTCGTGGATGACTTGTGCGGTGAGGTTCTGGCCAACGTGCTGCTGAGCTTTCGCGGTAGGGCCGCCCTTGTGTGGCTCGTCCTTGCCGGTGATCTTCTTCTCGGCAGCGGTGATTTGCGAGATGAAGTTTGAGTCGACCTGGACAGACATGATGCGTGTTGTTGTGAAAGCGCGGTGGTTGCTGAGGTCGTTTTCGTTGATCCTGATCGGTGCTCTTTGCGATGCGATGCGAGCTGTTGGTCGTGCTGCGAGGAAAACGTTGCGGTTGATACGGAGGAGTTTGGAAGCCATTGTTTATATGTCGATGGGATAATGGACTGGAAGGTGCAGGTGTGTGCAGTGTACAAGCTGAATATGTAGTGTGATGGAGTACTGATGTAATACGAAATTGATATCGTCTGAGGTGTGCGTTCAGCGTGACGTTTACTATGGGGAAAGATGGATTGCAATGCGCATTTGCAACTTGTCGGTCTGCCCGTGCACCGCAAATCTCTGCATCAATGGCGACGACATTGTACTGATGACCCTGAGATGCAGGTACCACATCTCCGATGGACGCGGCGACTGTGCGATGCGCGCGCATCATGTGGTGGAGCCATGATGTCAGCATTCTGGGGAACTGCGGCCATGACGATTCGGGTGCACTAGCGGTGAGCTAATATGGCGATGCGTTTTAGGGGTCCAGATGCAGAATTCACAACATCAATTACTGCGCGATCGATGTAGAAAGTGAGTTTCTCAGCTACTGAGGGTCGTTCGGGTGGGCGTAGTTCACTTCGATCTGACATTTCGGAGATTGCGGGGCTACCGGCTTTGGTGGCGCATGTCAGACCATACGAGGTTCTCGCCCGTTGCCTGATTGCAACGCCATTGGATATTGGCAAGTTCGTTTCGGTCGCACCTACTTGTACGGTATGTGTTACGCCTTGCTACTTTGCGTGTATACAGCCATTTGGTCCGGTATGGCACTCGCGGCGATAAGGCATGCGACGGAACGACTATGAGGCCGCTGCTGCAGAGGCAGGCAGCCGTATAAGGAAGGCTGCTGGATTGGGCCCCGTGTGCACAACATCAACAGTAGGATCAAAAACTATCTCATAACTGCGTAGCTCTCGCGAATTGGATTTCCAGCTTCTCCTCACACTGCCACAATGTCATTCATCAACCCAGCCGCACCCGTGTCTCTCCTAGGTAGACATCGCATCCTCAGTCCCACTGCAGCCGTCCGGGTCTCGCCTCTTTGCCTCGGTGGCATGAATTTCGGTGAAGCATGGAAAGCCACTCTCGGAGAATGCATCAAAGAAACGGCCTTTGCAATGCTGGATTACTTCTACGAGCAAGGCGGCAATTTCATCGACACGGCCGTCAACTACCAGTTCGGCGAGAGCGAAGAGTGGATTGGTGAGTGGATGGAGGAGCGAGGTGTTAGAGATGAGATGGTACTTGCGACCAAGTTCACCGGTATGCAGATCACAGAGAGAGAGAAGGAAGGCGGTGCGAGGTGCAAGAGTAACTATGGGGGTAATAGCGCGAAGAACATGCATACAAGTACTGAGCGTTCGCTGAAGGCGCTCAGGACTAGTTACGTCGATATCGTGAGTTCCTTCTTCGGGCTCTGTATTCCGCTACGACTGTTGTGATTGACTGACTCATAGTACTACGTCCACTTGTGGGACTCAACAGCCTCCATATCAGAGCTGATGAATGCCCTCAACGACCTCGTCTCCTCCCGCCGAGTACTCTACCTAGGCATCTCCGATACCCCAGCCTGGATCGTCGTAAAGGCGAACTGCTACGCCCGCCAGCACGGTCTCCGCCAATTCTCAATCTATCAAGGCCGCTGGTCCGCCGCCGACCGTTCCTTCGAGCGCGAAATTATCCCAATGGCACTAGACGAAGGCATGGCCCTTGCACCATGGGGCGCTATTGGCGGAGGAAGCTTCAAGACGAGAGCGCAAAGAGAGAACCCAGAAGACGGCGGCAGGAAGATGAAAATGATGGTCATCGGCAACGAAGAGAAAGTCAGCAATGTGCTCGAGGACATTGCGAACACCAAGTCTCCGGTCCCGCCTATCACTTCTGTCGCTCTCGCATACGTTATGCACAAGTCACCTTACGTCTTCCCTATCGTCGGTGGTCGCAAGATTTCGCATCTAGAGGGTAACATCCAGGCTCTTGGTTTGAGTCTTACACCAGAGGAGATCCAACAAATTGATCAGGCATATGGCTTCGAAATGGGGTTTCCGCATCAGTTCCTGAATCCAGAGAATACGGCGATTATGGGACCGGAGGATAATCGATTCGCGAATAACATGGGTGTTCTGGATCATGTCAAGGGGCTGAAGCCGATTCCGCCGCATCAGGGGGCGGTAGACGAGAAGTGACTGGTCCTTCCATTGGAGCAGGCGACGTGGTGTTCGCCGGCAAGAGATTGCGTACGTTAGCCCGTAGAGACTACGAAAGGTGAACGGGATAAGGCGCACATTACAAAGCCGGAGCGCGAAGGCTTCAAAAGCTTTCCTGTTATAGAGACCGAAGAGAAAAGTCAGCCTGTAGCTTTCCTCTTCCACCCTCGTCATTAAAGTCCGATCGCCTAACCTAGACGTCGATTGCATCTGCATCTATTCACTTTATGTGTGTGCCAAGGAACGGAGTTACAGCCTGCGCTTCCTTCTGCTAGTCTCGATTGGTTTGTATCTCTTCATGCACCGCTATACTCGCCATCTTAGCTCCAGCCTGAGACGAATATCCTCCAACGCGGACTGTAAGTACCCACTAAGCCCAGAGTATGATTGCATCAACATGCTAAATGTCGAGATTGACTCAAACAGAAGGAACAAGTAATCATGGCTTCTTTACTTCTCCGTTCCGCCAGCCTCAGCAGTCATATAGACAGCGACGTCTGGGACATGATCTTTCCTGACGCAAAGACCAAGAAGCACCAAAACGAGGCCGGAGAAACCGCCCAGTCCACCGAAGGCATCACCGCCAAAGACATTGACATCCGAAACTGGCCCTTCGCAGACCGCAAGAAGCTCGAATCCAAGTACGACCAAATCAAGATTGTAGTCGACTCCGAGCTCGTCACGACGATGCCGAAGCCATTGTTCCGCGCGACTTCGACAAAGACCAGCGAACTCACCTTAAATGGTACCTTCATACTACCCGAAACTACTGACGCCGACGCGACATGTGGACTAATCGAATACCTCGAGGACGTCATCTCAAACCCTGCTAAGCCCTCGCCATTCATCCTCCATCTACCCATGACAATATCTCTGGACGTATGTACCGCGGCCTCGGCGCTAGGGATGGACAAGTACGTCGACAACCTATACAAAGAGTGCGAAGACCTCCTACGAACATGTATACCCTCTTACGCAACCATCTCCGTCATCACGACCTTCAGGACGCACACAAGATATTTTTCCCGCCTCTTCCGCATCCTCGTAACCAACCTCGCCATCGGCCTTTCGAATAACACGATACCCGATGAAGTAGGCTTGGAGGCGTATTGCATGAGGAACCCCATTCTGGACAAGGCAATCAAGAGATCACATAAGAGGTACGGTAGTTTGGAGTGCAGAAGGATATATTGGGAGCGCAAGAATGGGAAGTGGGAGTGGGCTGTTTGCAAGGAGATGGCGGAGGCTCAGGCGAGGATTGATTGGGATAGCTTGTATGATGGGCCTGCTAGGGATAGAACGTAGAAAGCAAGAGAGCGACGTGCACTCATATTTGCATATTGATGATCCCAATGTACGTATCATGAAAGATAACTCAAGGCTGCCGACTTGCTTGATCAACACTATGTCTCTCCACTGCTCTCTCACTTTCCCTTGCTAATAGCCTCAAAAGCATACCCCCTCGCCCTCCCCGTCTCCCTCATCCTCCAACTCTCAATATACCCCTCCACATCCTCACACCCATTCTCCTCCCCGGGAACAGGCTCCCCCCACGTCCCCCAATACGGCACAACGCCCGTCCAAGTCTTCTTCACCAACTCCTTATCCTTAAGATCATTCCTATCCTCGCTCGGCCCGCCAGTTCGTATCTTTGCGCTTGCCTGTTGCCACACAAATAATGTTAGCACGGAAAGAGGATGTGGTAGGAAAGAACACCGATATCTCTGCACAGAGATGAAGCGACAGAGAAAGAAAGAGGAAATAACCTACACTCTCAATCCTAACCCTAAGTATACTCGTACTCTTCAACTCCGCACTACTCGGGGGCACCCTACTCTTCTCCCAGCGCTGGGGCAAAATATTATCAGTAATAGCTTTCATGGCGTACAGGGCTTCATCGGCGTCTTCGACGAGTTCGGCGTATCCGTAGACGATGGCGGAGCGGTAGTTGCAGGAGTTGTGGAAGGGGGTTAGGGAGAGGACGAGGCCGTCGAGGAAACTGGCGGCTATGGTTATGGGGAGGCCGGGGGTGGAGGTATCTTTTCCGTGCTTGAAGATGCGGCCGGAGACGTAGCCGTGGATGTAGAGGGTTTGGGGGGTGGTGGAGGGGTCTGCGGATTGGTTCTGTGCGGTTGGGTTAGTACATTGATGTTTTCATGCTTTTGCTGTGGTGGGACGGGGGATTGTGGGAGGGGAGGAATTGACGTACCTCGTAGTTACCCGTACATCCCAACATTGGCAAGACGACCGGGAAAGGGTGTTCTGGGTCGACGAAGGAGACGTGGAGGATTGGACAGGCGTTTACTAGGCTGTGTATTGTTGCGTAGTCGTATGTGCCTGGGTTCATGGGCGTGAGCATTGATCTTGAGTAGGTAGGAAGGAGAAGCCGACAAACGTACCTCGGTTTGCCAATCGACCGAGTTTGTTGACGGCGGTTTTGGGGTACTCTGGCGATGCCATAGTGCGATGTCTGTTGCTGGATCTTTGAAGTGACTTCGTTCTGACCGCAAGGAAAGATTGGCAAGAGAGAGTGATGCTGAGGTCTCAAGCTGAACTGGAGTGTAATCGTATGCGAGGTTCAATCAAGATTTGTACTTTTCCCTTCAAGCTTTCTGTGACTCCTAATTCGTGACTCCTCTAACACTCACATATGCACAGACGCACGACGCTCATCAGGCAAGCCATTGCACACGTCCAAAGCGTCTGGAAGGATGACGGCACCCGGCAGGACTTACTGCATGCGGAAGCGGGGCCGTAATCGTGTGAGTAATCATTGGTGGATGGCGTTTACACTGCGCGACTACCATACCTCGCGTACACGGTTAGGCGTGTAGGGCGTCTAGAATTGTGAGTAGCCTCACAACATTGTGCATACCGCGGAACATTGGCTGCGGATACTTCGGGTTATCCACGGCCTATATACAAATCAGAGCTGCAAGTATGATGCGGTAGTATTCCATATCCATCTATGATACTAGACAGAGTACAACATGTAGTCAAAGTAAACCTAGTCCCAATCCAATCCGGGAGAGCCTCAATGGGCGATGCAGTCCAAAAGTCCAATTCCAAAACTCCGTTCCATGCAAGTCTTCTTCCGCTCTTCTTGACTCATTCTCCAGTCTATCATCTGAAACTCCACGCCGTTCTCAGTCCACCGTTAACACTCTCCAACTTCAAACACTGATACGGACTGCTCTGCGGATCATAATACAACCCTTCCAGCATCCCGCTTCTCCGGTCAAGCGCCACGTAGTAGAACCCGCTGATGGTAAGCCCGCAGCCTGAGTCGTCGAATGTCGCTTGTTCGGCATCGTTGGTTACGGAGTTGAAGAGGGGTTGTGGTGTGATTTCGACTTCGGCACGGCCAGTTTGCGCGTTGCGGACTATGCGGTAGGGCGAGGGCTGGAGTTGCGAGGTATGCGTGGAGGTAGGAGCGGCGGGTGCGTAGTTGGAGGAACCTGTCGAGGCCCAGGGATTGGACGGTGGAGGGTCGGCGGAGAAGGAGGAGGGTATCGTGGTGGAGGGTGGGGGCTGAACGGGGTCAGGGGTGCTGCGGTTCAGGCTCTTTACAAAGCATCGCTCTTTCCAGCGCATGAGTATCCAGTTCTGGCCCAGGACTTCGGTGAGCCACTTCTTGCTTGTTAATGCTCTGACCACGTCTTCGTCGCTCATCTTCTGAAATGGGGGCAGTTTGCGCCAGTATGTTGCGTCGTTTGCGGCGTTCGATTTGAAGGATTCGGTGAGGAGGGTGTAGTTGTTGAAGTCGAGGATTTCGCCTTCGAGGTAGGTCGTAATAGAGGAGGTGCGCGTGACGGACGGTGTGGCATTGCTGGGGGAAAACATGGTGTGCGGGTGCGGGTGGGAAGGTACGTTATACGCTTCCATGGTTGCGGAGAGAGACATCTGCTCCCAGTCCACGTCGTGTATGGTGACCTTGACGGGCCACCGGTCTTGGTGCGGTTGTGCGTCGGGCTGCGAGTTCCGGCTCGTGGAGACTTCACTGGGATTCCATATCCACGGTCGTATGGGCGGCGGGAGTCCCGTGTGCCGGCTGTATGTGGTAGTCGCGGCAGCGGGCATGGTCGTCGCATGCTGACAGCCCGAGAGTATCGCGCCCGGTGCCAGCCACGAGGTCTCGGTGGGCGGCGGTATGGCGAGGGTGTTTGCGACGAAGTCTGCGTGCTGCAGGAAGAAGTCCTTGGTCAGGAAGCCGGCGTCTCGCGCACGCTCCCAGCTCTCGTCGTCGTCGCGCGAGTGGCGTATGCGCGACAGGTACTTGACGGTCTGCTCCAGCATTGGCGACGTGCGGGCCTCGGAGTCTCGGTGCGAAGACATCTGGCGGCGTTCTCGCTGGACGGTCTCGGGGAAGAGGCTGGATCGGGCGGCAAGCATGTCTCTGAGGCTGCGGTGTGAAGCGTGGCGTGGCGGTGCTTCGCTGCTGATGGCGGCTTCCCTGGTGCGCGCTGAGAAGCGTGGATGGCGGCGCACGCCTGCCGACTGGAGGATGGCCGTCGACCTCAGCGAGCTCTCGGGCGCGCCCGGGGCCTCTGTGGCCGGCGACCAGTCATACAGGCTGTTCTGACTGGGCACGCGGTCGCCATAGTTGTTGTCGCTGAGGCGGCTGAGGCGTGACATGACGCGGCGCAGGCGGTCCCGCTGCTCCAGCTCGTCTCGCTGCCTTTCCAGCAGGCGCAATCGCTCCTGGGACCGGTCCAACCGCGCCTGGTCGCGCTCACGTGCTGCGCGGAGATAGTCGACGTGGGCGCGTTCGATGTCGTCGTCGTCGCTGGGAATGCCTTGTTCGTCCGTCGGGGTGCCCAGCGTGGCGGCGAGGTTGAGCACGTCGTCGTTTACGGGGCTCTCGAGCTCGCGCAGGGCCGAGATGAAGGTGGGTTCCGCGTCGTCCTATTGAGCGGCTACGTCAGTCATGCACTTAGACCACGGCTATGTGACAACATGTGGACGGCAACATCTGAACGACGGGTGCTTACAGGCGAGTTGGCGGGCGGCATTATGACCAAGCAGGCGGCGCAGCGGGCATGGCGGGACGGAGCGATGGATGAGCTGTCGCATGCAACGCACGACGTCGGATGCACGATGTCTCAAGAGCAAAGGCGTGTCCTCGGCGAAAGTGACGCGACATGTCAAACTCTTAAGCCTGAGCCATTGCCCCGAAAAACCAAAGACAGCGCTGCCTGGCGACCGTCACGGCACCTGATAGCGCACGCCATCTCGCCATGCACTTCCCCCGTTGTCCCGCTGCTGGCTTCCGCTCCGCCCTGCCAATAGTCGGCGCTGAGAGGCATGCCGCACAACTCAATGCATTCCTCGCTTGCCCCAGATTGCCTCGTCGGTCCCGCGGTCATGGGTGGGTGGTCTGTGCGTCGACAATAACCTCAACTACACGCGTCACATTGACGACGCTGGACACTACATAGCCTTCTCATAGTAGGCAGTCAGGTCTTGCGGCAGAACTAGGCAATGATTACTTTCAACCCGTACGCGCTAGTACCCTAACCAAAACCTCATCACAGCAGTCGCTCCTTCCTCTCCAACCCCTCCAACACCACCAAAATCTTTCCCACCAACTCCGCAAACTCCTCATAATTCCCCCACGTATAAGGCCCCAACCTCGTCCTACTCGCCCTAACTAGATGCATCAACTTTCCCTTCAACTCCCTCCTCGGCTCCTCATTCGTACACATAGGGAACCTCAAATCCAACAACGCACTCGTCGCTGTCTCCACCATCGTCTTGCTACACCACACATGAAACCCATGCATAATCACATCTTCCAGACTCAGCGGCGCATGTACTGTCCCCGGCGGCATAAGTAGTAAATCCCCTTTCTTGAGAAAGATGGGAAAACCGGGTTTGTTTGGTGCGTATTGGAGACCAGCTTGTCGCGATACAGCCCATTCCTCGCGTTCAGAGTCGGAAAGCGACCACGTAAACCAGAGTTTCGAGCCAGTCTCACACAACACACCGGTGTACAGGCCGTGCTCGTCGATGTGCGGGAAAGACCAGACGCCTCGTTTGCCCCAGAGCGCGAAACCAGTTTTACTAGAGAGATCGCTGGGGTTCGGGTCCGAGTGGTTGGACATGCCACCGTATTCCGTCGCTTCGGATAGGATGCTGTAGTCGGTGAGATTGTCGAGCTCCCAGGGTAATACGTTTTGACGTACAGGCCGGATGTCGAGGAGGTTTACGGGGAGGGCGGTTGGGTCGGACATGCGTTTTAGGGCGGTGGAGATGGTGAGCCGGCGGGTTATGTTTCTGGATGTGAGGTCTTGGACGTCCATGTA